GTTACACATTATGATGATTTCATTCATGTCGTTGATCGAGATTCTAACAAACCAGTCTGTATAATCTGGTAGCCAAGTAGCAAAAAATTTGGGTTTTTTTCCGGATTCGATAAATGAGGAAGAAGATGGAGAGAGAGAGAGAGAGAGGGGGGGGGGGGGGGGGGGAGTCAGAGAGAAAGAGAGAGAACGGTGGGGGTGGGGTGGATTTTTTTTTAAATCAAAATAGCATTAAAATACTTATAGAAAAAGGAAAAAAGAAATCAAAAGGGCATAACCGTCTTCTTAACTTTTTTTTGGACCAAAAACCCAGAAAAACTTTGATTATGGACCTTCCATGCAAGTTGAAAACTTTTTGGACCGCATCCAAAGTTTTTTGAATACAACAAGGATCAAATTTGTAGTTTTATCAATTATACAATATGGCCAAATATTTTTTCAAAAGCATGTGTAAGATTAAATATCAAGATTTTGTTCATGTTCAAAATATCAATTCGAGAAGAATGAATGATTAAGAAGAAACTTCTTTCTTATTACTCTTCTCAACTGCTACTAAACTATTACACATATGTATAATAAATAACATTACGTATCATGAGTGTCTAACTAACTTGTAACAGACTAAGAATAAGAAAATGACAAAACTACCCTTGGTAGTTAAAACTGATTAACTATCATATTAGCTTAGCTAACAACCCCCTGCAAGGTTGGATGTAGCATCAACGTGTTTGTGTCCAGGAAGAGATTTGGTGAGAATGTCAGCCTTTTGATCATTTGTAGAAACATGAGACAAGCTGATAAGACCAGATTGTACTTTTTCACGAACAAAATGGCAATCTATTTCGATATGCTTATTTCTTTCATGATAAACATGATTAGAAGCGATGTATATAGCAGCCATATTATCACACTTTAGAGGAATGGGAGTAATAATTGGAACCTCCAATTTTTCATAAAGTCGACTAATCCATGCAAGTTCTGATGTAACTCTGCGCATCGAGCGATATTCTGCTTCGGTTGATGACAATGAAATGGTGACTTGCTTTTTAGACTTCCATGAAATAGGTGAGCCGCCAAAATTATAAAATATCCACTTACAAAACTTCGAGTAACAGGACAAGCTACCCGATCAAAATCACAATAAGCTTCAATTTGATAAGAAGGCATATTGTTAAAGTGAAGTGCTTGATCAATGGTGCCTTTCAAATATTAAAGAACATGTAATGCAACTTGATAATGTTCTTGGAATGGAGTTTTGTTGAATTGACTAAGGTATTGAATGGTAAAAGCAAGATCAGGGCGTGTATGAAGCAAAAAATTAAGTTTGCCCACCAATTGTCTATAGACAGTTGCATCAGGAAGAAGATCATTCATAACAGGAAGCAATTTAAGATTAAGTGGTAAAGGAGTTAATTTAGGTGTAGAATCAAGCATCTCATAAGATGCTAACAACTGATTGATAAATTTTGTTTGATGTACCACCACTCCTGTGCCAACCTTTTTTGCCTCATATCTTTATTTTTTTTATTCTTATTAGCCATGGAGAGTTGGTGTTTTCTTTTCTCTTGTTCAATCAACCCTTTGTTTTACTTTGAAAAATTAACAATTTCCCTACCAGTTGACTCTGCATCAAACAGAAAAAAGTAAATCAATCAATAGTCAATGGTCAATACCAACTACAAGTTTTTACTGAAGTAACCTGGCACTATAAATACTTTGGTTTAATGAACAGGAATATGTATGTATAAAAATCGCAATTGAAGTACTTTGGTCTAATACCTCCATTTATACTAAGTGTCCAATCATTGTTTGTGAAGGTTGAAGTTCATGCACTAGACAACTATTGCTGATCTGAAATATTTCCCAAATATTTATTTATTCTGAATTATAAAAAAAAAAAAAAAAAAAAAAAAGATAATACCTTTACTAATTCATTGTATACAAGTCTAGCACATTGAAGACAATGATCCAACAACCGAGCTATTTGTCTTCAAACCAAAACTTGAAGTGGAACCTGTATATATGTATTAAAGGGTTAAATTATTAATATAAATAAATAAATAAATAAAAATTTAAACCTCTGGCACGAATAAAGCGGATCTAGGACCAGTTGCATTGTGGATTGCATTGCGGATGTCTTGATCAGTTAATCTCTCAAATGGATCTACTTCCTGTGACAATGACATATGAAATATATATATATATATATATATATATATATATATATATATATATATATATATATATATATATATATATATATATATATATATATATAGGTTCAGGTTCATTTGAGACCATTATAATTTTGTGAGACCGTGAGACCAAATCTAAAAATAATTTTAAAATGCAAAATAAATGGAAAAATCCAAAAATTCTTTTTTTAAATATTATTTTCGGAACTTGAATTAACTAAAAACAATATAAAAAAATATAAAAAAAATAAAAAAAATTCCGTTTTTTTTTTTGAAAAATACGTGAAATATTCTAAATAAAATATTACACTGACATATTCTAAAAAATAATTTTAAAATGCAAAATAAATGGAAAAATCTAAAAATTCTTTTTTTAAATATTATTTTCGGAACTTGAATTAACTAAAAAAATTAAAAATAAAATAAAAAAAATTCTTTTTTTTTGAAAAATACGTGAAATATTCTAAATAGAATATTACACTGTACATATTCTAAAAATAATTTTAAAATGCAAAATAAATGGAAAAATCAAAAAATTCTTTTTTTAAATATTATTTTCGGAACATGAATTAACTAAAAAAAAATAAAAAAATGCGTTTCACGGTCTCACAAAATATAAGTGGTCTCAAATGAACCTAACCTATATATATATATATATATATATATATATATATATATATATATATATATATATATATATATATATATATATAATAATGAACATGTTTCTAAATATTATTATTGGGAAAGCTGTAATGAACATGTTTCATATGCTTTTTCAAATAGGATCCTTCTCCCTCTCCCTTTCCCTCTAGTAATTTCCTCTTCAAAGCTGATCCTCCAGATTTAATAAAACATAAGACTATCAGTCTATAACCTCAACAATAAAAACAAAACAAATTATTATTAAAATCAAATAATGGTAATACAAATTGTTACAAATTGTGGGACAGCAGTGTCTTCTTCTATGATGACATATAAAGCAGCCCTATTACAATATTACCCTTGTGGGACAGCAGGGTCTTCTTCTATGATGACAAATTGTGGGACAGCAATACATGACTAAATGCATGTAGATAGATAAGATTGTTTCTTTTTTACTTAATAAAATCAAAATGATTTGTCGTGCTAAGTGAGAGGTTGGTCACTTTATGTATTAAGACCCTCCCTATTACAATATTACCCTTGTTTATTTTTTTATTTTATTCAACTTTTGACAACCTCATGAAAAGGCACTATCGACCTCGTTTTTTTTCAATGTTCACAGAATTTTAAGCAAAATGTTGGCATCTATTTACTTGTTGTTGTTTGTTTTAGAATTTGGAGAGAGAGAGAGAGAGAGAGAGAATCTTCATGCCTTTATGGTGTATCAAAGGAGGGCGCGAAAGACAACCTAGTTACCATCCTAAGCAATTAGTGGTCCTAGACCAGTTTTAGACTCCAGGGGCAAAATGGTCTTTTATGCTTATTATTATTATTATCCGTTTGAATTATTTAGACCATTACCTGCAGGTGGAGATGGTATAGGAGTAGTGGGGGGGACAATATATTCTCCTCCTTGGATCATTCTTTGTAATACCTTGAAAAGTTCAAATTAATAGTTACAAAAGACCTGTGAATGTGATGGAGAAAAAATAGTTATTAATCAACCTCTATATAGTTGCAGAGTTTAGTTGTTAAACCCTGATTCATGTAAGAATCAAAAAAGAAATATTGTTACACAAAATCAATAATACAAAAAAGATCAATCAGTTAGCTATCAAAACCACGGGAAGTCCCGAGACACCAAAACCACTATCACATCGGTAGAAAAAGGTATACATACATGAGTGTCCTAAACGGGCGGGGCGGGTCGATTCATGGGTTATAGAAATAGAATAAGATTACTCATACATCATAAGCTGATTCTATAGGGGGCAACAACCAGTATGGCAATCCTAGCATTCCAAAACTTGAAAACTCAAAGCTTGTCATTGGCTCACAAGTTTTGTTGTATTTCCGCACCATCTAAACACTCTTGTTTCTTAGAGGATATTGTAGTTCATCAATTAAAACAAAAAGAAAATATTTAATTTTACCTGTGTCACAAATTACGATATTGTCCTGAAAAGTTACCACAGAAGAGAGCAGACCCGCACACCGAGAAATTATTTTGTGGCAGCTGCTGACTAGGCAGTATTTCTTTTACAAGGGATGATTTCTCCTTTATCAACTGTCCACAGATCTCTATAATCTTTGAATATCCTTCACACCACAAAAAATATTATTGAATAACATCATTATTAACCTAGAAACATCAAAAGAACATGTAGACAATAGAAGTCAAACCTTTGACCACTTCTTTAATGATACCAGATGACAGATCCATGATCCATAAAGTTTCAAAACTGCATGAAAACATTATATAGCAGATTAACAGTATATCATGTTAATTAAAATATGACATGTGAAATGTGGTAATTTTCCAATGACTTGAGAAGATGCCAGGGGTAAAAAAGTAATTTAGGATCAACTTCCTCTGAATTTCAAGGAATGTATTTCGCACTCTAAAGTTTATCAATGATCCAACTCACTAAACCACTTTTTGTCTCACTGACATTAGGTTTTTGATATAATGCCTCAACTGTCCTGCTCTCCATATCATCTCTCCTTATAGCATGATTCTTTCATCATATGAAAAGTGAAAACCATAATAAGACTATATCCCCATCAATATATTTGTAATTATTCATTTAAAAAAGAATACCTCTAAGTCAACAAAATAGAAGGAATCATCCTCATTGTGATAAAACAAAGCAGCAGGGCGAATTATTTTGGAGGATTCAAACTCTCCATCTTCAAATCCAGGTGAAGATCCAATCTGAAATATATATATATATATATATATATATATATATATATATATATATATATATATATATATGTATTTATATTATTATCATAAGCTTTTAGCTACTCAAAATTGAAATGCTATGTGAATTACAAATGGAAGATTTTTCCATTGTCATCAAACGTAATTATACGGTGGTGATTTGTGTCAGACAGAAACAACCGTTCATTAACTTCATCAACCTCAATGCAACCTGCAAATCATATTACTACAACATTAGCTAAAATGTTGTTTCTTTTGTAAGCAAATTCCAAAAAATAGCATCAAACTTTACTCCTTTTACCAATATAGGGCATGTACTCTATAACTAGATTGCACGAGTAAAAAGTAAAGTACATTGTTATTACCCATAATTTTCCCTTCCTTTTTGACTGAATGGAGACATGACTTAATCTGGTAAGTTATATACAGGTGTCTCTTTTTGACTTGATGCGGAAACAACGAATTAATACAGAAAGTCAGGGAAAAAAAAAATAGGACACATGTCTCAACAATTTCAAAATCCACATCCTTTTCATGCAAGAGTAGAGGACCTTCCATACCTTTAAATATTATGTAGCCCATTTTATCAGACATCTACAAACAAACAAAAAAAAAAGGATATAATCATATAAACAATACAGCAAAAAGCAATTCTTACTGTTTTATACGTGAGATTTATGTTAATAAATTAATTGTGTTCTTTAATGTAGCAGCAGCAGCACATGCCACCAGCACCGTTTCTTATTGTTATATGCCACCATGATGCTATCTCCTGTTGTCAGACATGAGAAGTTCCTCAATGTTGTCTCCAAGCTGCATCAAAACAAAATTCAAAGATTATTTCAGAAATAGGAATATGGAGTTTAATAAATTAATTAACTAGTTTTGTCAACTTACATTGCTTTTGGGTTAGAGATATCCAAGAAGTCGTTTATGTGAGGTTGTAATTTTACATATGCACCCTTTGGTAGGGTCACATTTTTTACATATGTACTCTTTGAAGTCTTTTTTGAGATATTCCTCGAGTTTAGGCGAATCTTCCCTCCGAAATACGCCCCACAAAGCACTTCCATCTCCCAGATCATTTCGATCCACACAACTACCTGAAATATCAACCGGGTTATCAACTTCTTCAACAACTTTTGTTTCCTCATTATTGCTATCTTCTTTACTTTCAGAGGATATCACTTTTTTCCTACTCTTGTTTTCAGATCCTTTATTTCCATTTTGTCCCTCATCCTTTTGCATGGAAGCTTTCCTCTTCCTCCCAACTATTCTACCAGTGTCAGACATAGCTTCTTCACAGCTTTCCACCTTCAATGCACATTCATGTGCTTGATCACTAGTACTTGTCACAAGACAAGAATCTGTTTCTTTCTCTGATTCTGGCTTGTATCTACTGGTAACAGGGTCACTTGTTTCTTACACATTTTCATCACTCGTGCTTTTTTAGCTTTAGATTCAGCTAGGCACCTTCTTTTTTCTTTCAATTCATTTAATTTAACAGTAGCAGCATCTTTCGGTTGTGTCTTCACTACCATTCCAAATAGTTCCTTATCATCCTGAGCTTTGTGCAACTGCTTCAATTCCTTTATAAATTCACGATGTTCAAGTTCAGGGGTCACAGTTGCAGTATGAGTCCGCACATTCACCTGCATGTCACCAAAATACATATTCATGAATGAAAATATATAAAATGATTAAAATCCAAAGCAGGTTAGGTGTGCAAAATAGAGAACACCATAAGCTATATAATCAAAATTACTAAGATGGTACTAGTTAGATGAAAATACCATATTCTTGATGAACACCATAAGCTATATAAGCAAAATTACTAAGATAAAACAAACTAGTGATAATAAAATAAGTAAACAAACAAAATAAGATATAACTACCAAGATGGTACTAGTTAGATGAAAAAACCAAAACTACCCTTAATCAAACAAGGGTGAAGGTAGTAAATATTCATACTTTATTCAATTTCTTGGCCAATTTAGGGATCCCACAGCAATCTGCCACTCTATTCACAACCTTTCTCAAATCAAATTTAAGAATAAGTTAACTCTTGACAACGATTGACAACACCAACATAACCAAGTTTAAGAGGAATTGTTTTGCCAAGAAAAAAATTGAAGGCATCAATGCCTCTGTCCATGATATCCAACTGTGACAAACAACTGTTCAAATGTCTTAGAAGAAAACAATATAAAGTTCACAAAAGTAAAGAAGAAGAAGAAGAAGAAGAAGAAGAAGAAGAAGAAGAAGAAGAAGAAGAAGAAGAAAATGTTGACCTTTGTAATTACACCAATTGTACGATGACTTAAAAAGAAAGGGTATATATGAGTTTTACAATTAGAAGCAAAACAATACATTAACAAAGCATAGTATATTTGATAATTACCATCAGGATCAACAATCCCATCCATTTGAAGTGCATCTGAGTTTGCCAAATCTGAATTTGCAGGTATAATGGCTAAGATTATACAACATGGCTGCATAATGTAGGAGAGTATCATTTCACGGAACACAGTAGAGAAGGGACCTGGACATGATGATAAATAAATTTAATCAAAACTATGAGTAAATTAACCTAATCACTGCATATAACCTAAAAAATTACAAACCCTAGAAGTTTATGTAGATTAATTTGGGGAAGTTGCATAGAAACTGAAACATACATAAGTCCTAGAAATCTATTAACACGTAAAGTACCTGATTGATGTCAAAAAGAAACTCCCAAAAGAGCTCGGCGATGCCTAATCATTGCGGTCCAAAGAAGCGGGATCTGCAATACGTGTTTTGCAACTAAAATATGAGAAAATCACAAGCTACAGAGAGGTATTCAGAAGTTGATAGAAAGATGGACGAGGGTATATGGAAATCGGATGTATCCAAAATTCAGATATTAAGAGAGAGACAGAATAAATGATTCTTGAGAGTTACTGGCTTACTACTTTGCCTCGTCTCCATCTTGATTCTTTCTTGAGAGTCGAGTTTCGACTCTTCGTTATTCTAGGCACCCGATTACAGATCCGTAATTTCAATTCTCGCGCCATTCCCAAATCGATTGAAGTTTTGCCTCGAACCTTGCAGTTGCCGTGAGGGAATAAAAGCCCTAGTTGTGGGATGTGAGATTGAAGAATAAAAGCGTACGTGAGGGAGGTGTTTTTGAAACTCTTGACGAAAATCACGATTATATGTAAGTGGGAAATAAAAGCCCTAATTGTTGGTCGCCATTTTGTGATCTTCAGGAATGAACGCGAGTTTTTAAGAAAAAAAATTATAGAATTATTATATGAGGTGTGGAGGTGTATAGTAGAGATGGTATAGCGATTAGGGTTTGCAGAGAGAAGGGAAGAAGTGAAGAAAGGGTATTTAAAAATTTTAGAATCGCGCGTTTTGAGTAAAAATCATAAAGCGACATTCAGAGAGGACGCACATTTTAGATAAAGTGCTTTCCGTGTTTTTAATTTTTTTACATGAGACACAAAATTAAGGGCATGCAATAATACGTGACCTAAATCTTTAAATTTTTTGAAGAGATAACCCCTTTTTAATGTCACTCTCTTTTTCGTAACATAAATCAATGAGCGTCGTGGTTTGTGCGTCGTAAAAGGGTCTTTTTCTTATGGAAGTTTCATGTACTTCATGTAGCTCTCCATGCAAAAATGCATTATTAACGTCAAATTGATGTATGTCCCATTTGTTCCTGACAGCTAAAGCAATAAGACTCCGAACTGTTGTAAATTTGACCACAGGAGAAAAGGTTTCATGGTAGTCTACACCTTCTTTCTATGTAAAACCTTTAGCAACTAATCTGGCTTTGTATATTTCAATAGAACCATCATCACGATACTTCACTTTATAAACCCATCTGCAAGCAATTGGCCTTTTTTCCTTTGGTAGCTTAACAACTTTCCATGTGCCATTATCTTGCAAAGCATCTAACTCAAGTTTCATTGCAGTTTCCCAATGAGGAATCCCTTTAGCTTGATGGTAAAAAGCTGGTTCAGGATCAATAGCTGAAGTATGAAAAGCATAGGATGTTTTAAGAGAAATGGGACAAAAGGGTATTTTTGGAATTTGTGGATTAATACAATAATTGGTAATTATATGAGCACAAAAAACATGATCAGCATTGTAAGTGACATTATTGCAAATGTAATCTTGCAAATAAGATGGTGGTCCACGAATTCGAGTGGTTCTTCTTGGAACTGGAGCATTACTACCAGGATTAACAGAAGATGTTGGTGAAGGTGTTGTAGAAGTAAAATTGTCTGGTTAATTCATAGGCATGTAGGATGGTGGATTATGTTTAAACGAGGAATTTTTGAGATTATGAAGTGGAAAAATAGTCTCAAAAAATTTTACATCTCGGGAAATGATGATTGTTTTGGTGATGAGATTGAGTAATTTATAGGCTTTTTAACCAAAAGGATAGCCTATAAAGAGTAAAGACACATGGATGAGCTTTACTCATAAATTTGTCACGTCCAGCTAGAATTGATGAGGCAAAACACAAGCATCCAAAGGTTTTAATAAATTCCCATGAAGGTGTAGTATTAAACAAGAGTTCAAATGGAGTCTTGCTATGAAGAACACTAGATGGTGTGCGATTAATCAAGTATACTGCAGTTTTCACACATTCGCCCCAAAAAGCAGTCCCAACACCTGATTGAAAATATAATGCTCGTGCCACTTCCAAAATGTGCCTACGCTTTCTCTCAACCAATCCATTTTGCTGAGGTGTATAAGCAGTAGACTTTTGATGCAGTATGCTCTGTTCTTGAAAAAATAATTTCCTAGCCTTACTAGAACCAAGCTCCATCGCATTATCAGTGCAAACACACTTAACCACAACATGAAATTGAGTTTTAATCATTCGAATGAAAGCTTGAAGCAAAGTAAAAGCATAACTCTTTTGATTAAGTAAATGAACCCATGTATGACAAGTGAAATCATCAACAATGGTTAAAAATACTTATAACCATCATGAGTGTAATGTTTGTAAGGTCCCCATACATCCACATGTATTAAATCAAATGGAGCTTAAAAAGTAGAAACACTATGTAGGAAAGGTAATCGAGATTGCTTAGCTTGAGCACAAATCAAACAATGTTCAATAGAAACATCATCATTATGTGAAGGAAGAGACAATAGAGATTTGAGTTTCAACAAAGGTACATGTCAAAATCTGCTATGCCACAACATATTATTGGAATAAGAACTGAATACATGAGATATTGGTTTATGAAACAGACTGGAAACAGAAAGACAATAAGAAAGATTTTGTGTAAGATGATGAAAATCAAAAACATAGAGATCATTGATTCTTTTCCCCATAATTCCAAGAGAAATGCTACTCTTCAACAAGGGGTCCTGCATGAGACAATGCTCATCAGTAAACAAAAAAAAAGGTTTGTAATTGGGAAGTGAGTTTCGTAACAGAAACAAGATTGTCTGAAATGAAGGGACGAATAATACATTCTGCAATACAATATATTCATGAATTTTGAAATCACCATAATGAGAAATGGAGAGATGATGACCATTAGGCAGCCCAATTGAATAAGGTTGTGGAAATTTAGACATGGATAAGAAAAGATCACTGTTAGAGCACATATGATCCGTGGCTCCAGTATCAATGATAAAAGATAAATGTGGTTGAAGATATGCAGAAGATTTATACAAATTAGAAGCAAAATGTGCAAAAAAGAAGGGTTTACCATCATTATTCATGGCACCTTCTGTCACATATGAATTAACAAAACAAGAAACAGATGGTTGAACACTTGTTTGACTGAGTAGTTGAATTAGTTGTTGATATTGTTCTTGAGAAAGAGAAGAAATAGGTTCAGTAGTGGCAAGTTGTACATGTGACTTTAGCTATTCCTTTTGTGGCTTAGTAAACTTGAAGTTGGATGGGAAACCAATTAAACGATAGCACTGAGATTTGAAATGGCCATTCTTCTTGCAATGAGCACAAACAAGAGATTTCTTTGAAGAATTAGATTAATGATTACTTGAAACATTCATTGCAATAGCATCTACACTAATAGTAGATGGCATATTAATGTCTCTTTGGCATTCCTCTTGAATTATCATTGAATAAACAGTTGAAACAGAAAGTAAAGGCTTCATCATTAAGATCTGACCTCGAAGCACTTTATAGCTATCATTTAATCCCATCAAGAGTTGAATTAGACGTTGATCATCCAAATATTTGAGAATTCCTGCAGAAGCAGCACAGGTACACTCTGGAATTCCTTGAACTATACGAAGTTCATCGCAAATCTTCGTGAGTTTAGTGAAGTAGGTTGAAATGTCATCTGATCCCTAAGATAAAGAGTAAATTTGTTGTTGGATCTGATAAATGAGAGCACCATCAGATTGAATTTCGTGAGCAAATTGAAGAAACAAAACACTTTCAGCGATATTGCGAGGCAGAGAATTAAGAATCCAACTGGTGACCATGGAATTAACACGATACCCGTTAGCGTATGTAGAGGATGTAGAAGATGGCTGAGAAATTGAACCATCCACGAATCCAAGCTTGTTCTTGGCTAATAAAGCAATGATCATAGATCGTTTCCACGCTGAGAAGCCAACACCAGAGAAAACATTGGAAACTAAAACAGAGCTTGGATTATCCGAAGATCCAAGATGATATGGATTAGAAATGTCAATAGAATTGAATGAATTTTGGGAATTTTTAGATGAAGACATGATGTAATGAAGAAATAATCGATCAATTGAATCAAACAATTGGGAATTTGAAAGAGATGCGGAAGAAAATGATCAAATTTGATACCATGTTCATGTTCAAAAGATCAATTCGAGAAGAAAGAATGATTGAGAAGAAACTTCTTTCTTATTACTCTTCTGAACTGCTACTTAAGTATTACACATATGTATAATAAATAACATTACGTATCAAGAGTGTCTAACTAACTTATAACAGACTAAGAATAAGAAAATGACAAAACTACCCTTGGTAGTTAAAACTGATTAACTATCATATTAGCATAGCTAACAGATTTTTATGGAATCATATATATGACGAACAATTAATCCATGGTACTAGTTCATTTAGGCTGTATGTTTATATATGTGATATGTTGCATCACTCGCCTTTTATGAATTGAACTGTTGATGATCAAACTTTGAAAAATAAAGACAAAATATAAATAGAAATATTTTTAATCCAGTTTGCATTTAAGCAAATTTCAAATGTATCATGAAACTCTTACTTCCCACATGGAAAGTACTTTAATATTTGTTAATGATCTTTTTGTAGCTTTTATTGTTAATATATTATACAACTAGGTGTAAGACCCATATATTATATAGGTTAATTAATTAAAAAAAATTAAATATAAAGGTCTAAATATTTAAAAAATTTGGATTTATAAGAAAATAAGAGCATAGCTTTTATTGTTAATATATTATACAACTAGGTGTCCGATCCTATGTTTGTTTCCATGATAAGATTGAGTCATTTTTTGTATTGTGGGCTTATTTTTTTCCTACATTATAAATAAATTTATACGGCAAGAAAGTGTAAAATGGTAAATTACATAAAGTAAGATTCTTATTTTTAAACCTCTTAAACAAATTAAAAAACCTAGATGCGTACCTCTGCTTGATCAATGTTATTTAGGCCAAAGTTGTGTATCATTGAAGAAAATAAAAATGTGGAATGGTAATTTGAATATCAATCTATAAACTAATAACACTATATCGTTAAAGTCGTAAAATGCCATGAGGACTTTTAATAAACAGGTTAAGTATATATAGAGAAAAAAAGACCATAAACAACTATAGGGACTAAATCTGGATTTCAATTAATTTTAGTAAATAGCCAAAGAATTGTATATACATACGCAAATGCTAAATTGATCGGTGTGAGTTTATACACTTTGAAAGCTACCATTTATTTTGGGCGCAAAATAATAAAACAACATAGCAGTAAAAATAATAGAGAAAGGCACCAAAAATAATAGAGCATAGCAGGAAAATTGATACATTCACAACAACACAATTATACAATACCGTCTGCCGCCTTTACTAAATAAACTTGAAACCGATGATTTAAGAACGTTATGAAGACAATATAGTGGATGATTACACACCGTTGCATGGCGTTTATCTGTTGATTCTTGGAGTCTTCGTTGAAGATATTGAAGATTTGGGTTTCATATCATTAATTTATGATGTAAATTGGGATTTATTTAGTTAAGAAATTTCAAATTTAGATAGAATTTGTTGAAGAATATGGATAAAACCGAATAATAAACATAGATGATAGAAACAAATGAACTACACACGTATTATAGAAAAAAAAATAT